GTGTGTGTGTTTGTGTGTGTATATTTATAAAACAGGACAGGAAAAACATACTAATTCTAGCTGTGCTTCCATGTGGACTCAAGACAAAATTCAAGATTTCTAAATTAGAATGTTTTGGACAAAAATGGAGTTATAGAGATTATAGCAGGGGAAATTAAAGATAACAGGTCAGTGCCCTGTTAAATCATTGAGAATAAAGTAGCTTCATCTCTGAAACCGTATGTCATCTCTACCCTAAACTCACTGCCTGAGACTGCTCTTGAAATCATAAGCAAATCCTCCTTTAACCACACTTGTGATGTCAGCATGTGTCATGTAAGATTTGAAAACCTCTGCCCTACATTCCTGAGAAAAGAGGATAGCAAAAGACAACATTTTAGTAGGATCGTGAAACAGGTTAGCCATTGGATATCATGAAAGAGTCTCCTGAACCCTAGAGGCCTCTGACCATAACTTGAACAGTGTTGGGTTAGGAGAATAATTTGTGATAACAACAACAAAATCCTAAAGCCTCGGTAATTTCAGGTAATTGAAATTTACTTCTTGCTCATGTAGCCTTATCAGGAAAAGGCTGTGTTCCACTTCCATTTTGGAATTGGAGCTGGAGTTCTGTGTCTTTGAGGTCTGCCTCCTGATGTTGATCCTGGGAGAGAGAAAGGGAGTGGATGATTTTTTCAAGAAATACTTGTGAGCTCAGCCTTCAAGTAAACATTACTGTTTTGCCCACATTTCACTGGACACGGTATCCAGAGTTGCAAGTAAGCTTGGAAACATAGTCAGCTGTGTGCCCTGGAAGAAAAATATGTGGTTCAGTAAATAGGAGGGCAGTCTTAAATACAGCACCTAAGTACACTTAAATACAACATTAATGATTTCCTGTAAGTGCCTCTGGATTGGGTGTTGATATAAAGCATTGCAAATCAGTCAACAATACAAGATAATCAAGTTATATCAGTTGATATAACTCATACAAGTTATACATATAACTTGATTATCTTGTATTGTTGACTGATTTGCAATTATTTTTATACACAAAGAAAAATACATGTGTTATATTCAATAACATTTATTGTGCACCTGTTATGTCCAAGCAGTGTCCTGGGTCGTGGGTAAGGGGAGGAAGAATAGACATAAAGGCCCTTGTGTACTTCCTTACAATCTAGTGGGAGTAGGTGGTCAATAAAAAGATAATAAATATGAAATAATAGTGAATTGTTATATTAAAAAAAAAGAAGAGACAAAAGAAAGTGGGAGTCAGTGCTGCCTTAGAGTGGGTCATTCAGAAAGGTCTTTCCTCAAAGATGTTGGAGTGAAGAACTGAAGAATAAGGAAGATTCATGGGTACAGAGCCCTGGGGGAGAGAGATGCAGACCTAGAAAAGAGCAAGTTCAAAGCGCTGAGCATGAGAACAGCCTAGGGTGCTGGAGAAACAGAAAGTGTCCATGTGTTTTGAGAGGAGAGTGAGGTTAGCAGCCTAGGGTGTGCTGGGCAGGTGGTCTGGGAAATGAACACCCAGGATGTTGTGTTCCATTACAGAGAGTTGTGGCTTTAACCTCAGGGCAGTGGGAAGCCAGGTGTGTATCATGATTTGATTTGTGTTTCTAAAAGTTGATTCAGATTGTTTAGTGGAGCATAGACTTGGGGAGCTCTAAGTCCAAGGTCACTGTGCTTCTGCATAATAATTTATGTCATTGCCCTAGACAACCTGAAGCAATAAATCAATCTCAATATCCTTAATTCAGTGTAGGCTGTTTTTTACAAATCACTGTGTTTACTTTTTGTTTGTTTTTGCAGCTCACAGGGGCCATGTATTACTGTGCTGGTCATATTACTGGTGTCTAATTCACAAATGATTATTTTCCCCAAAGAACTTTTTTTTAAGCAATCAGTGCTCTCACCATTAATACAATGACAAAAATACATTTTTTCAATTCTCAGAACTGGAATTTCTCTCAATGTTGTCTGGCATGAGTTATAAAAATGACAAATGTTAGCCTTCAAACTAGGGAACAGAATACCAACTACATTCTCACAGGAATTACAGGAACAGCTCTGCAAGGTTGAAACATTCTCATCAAAAAGGAGATAGTGAGTAGCACTAATGACCATTGTTAAGTATTATGCAAAACAGTAAAAAGAATGTAATGAATAATAAAGAATCCAGATAACTGAGGATGAGATGGTTAGAGCCCATCACTGACTCAATGGACACGAGTTTGAGTAGCTCTGGGAGATAGTGAAGGACAGGGAAACCTGGCGTGCTGCAGTCCATGGCATCCCAAAGAATTGGACACAACTTAGCAACTGAACAACAACAAAAATAACTGAAGTAGGCAAGCTTAATGGCTGGATCTTTTCAATACCAGTAAAACTGCTAAATGATGATAGGCAGTTTGCATAATTCTCTACAAAAGAGAATTATTCTTTTCTTGTACACAGTAGGTATTAACATACGCATTTCTTGAGAAATTGATCAAATACCCATTGACTTAGATGAAGGAAAAAAAGTCTCTGCTAGGAGGAGACCTGATCCAAATAAACTCTTTTTCTTCATTTCTGTTTCTTTAATGGAAATTTCATGCAGGTATTTCTTTCTGTTTTTCTTTTCCAAAAAGGCAAAAGAACTGTTTTCAAAACACTTATGCAAAAGAATTTCTTTGTTAATTCTGAATTTATTGTTGTTGTTATTCTAACAGTGTCCTGCCATAAAGTGAGTCTAAGTAGAGAATGCCTCTAAATTGTAGGGGAACAATCCTACAATCCTTTCAGCTTCAACAGATCAGTGCAATTTACTAGTTAAAAAACCCACACAAAATTAAGTATTTCCTTTGTAGAACTAGTGACATCAGTCTGCAGTTATGGGCTTGTGCATTCACACCCAGAGATGCACTAAGAAGCATCCTCAGATACACACGGACATACACGCACACATGGTCTTAATACCCAGAACTAATTCTATCCAGAAAGAGTGCTAGCTGTTAATATTTCAGCCCCAGACCATTATTAAGTGTTGCCTTACAAACCATTTCTAACTTTGTACAACTTTTGATTTATCACTAATATCATAGTAGCAGAGACAAATTAAATTTCACAATCATCTTTTAAATTGAATACCATGTGTCTCCAAGATAAATCATAGCCTTTGATGCCTTTGCCCATAAATAAGAGAAAATCAATTCAAAGTAACTGAGACTATAGGGACGTGTATTGTTTCAAAAAGCAAGAAGCTCCGAGAGTTGCAGGTCCAGACAAGGTGAATACAATGCCTAAGGACTCACAGTTCTCCATGGTTCCATTCTGCTCATCATTTGCTGTGGTTGTTTAGTCACTAAGTCATTTCTGACTCTTTTGTGACCCCATGGACCGTAGCCTGCCAGACTCCTCTGTCCATGGAATTCTCTAGTCAAGAATACTGGAGTGGGTTGCCATTTCCTTCTCCAGGGGATCTTCCTGACCCAGGGATCAAACCCACATCTCCTGCAATGCAGGCAGATTTTTTTTTTTTTTTACCACTAAGACCCTTGGGAAGTCTCTGCTCATCATAAGAGTCAGCATTTTCTTTCTTTAGCCTCTGCCAACATCCTAAGTTGCCACCACACATGATCCCAAAGGGGCCAACACCAACATGATGACAGTCGGAGCTGGGAAAGCTATATGCCTTGTCTCTATATATTATCAAGTGAAACATTCTCAGAAGCCCTCCAATAGGTTCAGTGGTACGTTATCCTGGCTGCATCCTCACTTCAGAATCAATTCCAGGAAATGGAAACGAGACTACCACTTGTGGTTTATAACAACTAAGATGCTGCAGAGGCTCATGATAAATCAGGCTTCCCCGAAAACACACACGGGGCTTCCCAGGTGCCTCAGTGGTGAAGAATCCACCTGCCAAGGCAGGAGACGCAAGTTCAATACCTTGGTCAGGATGATCCCCTGGAGAAGGCGGTGGTAACCCACGTCAGAGGAGCTTGGCGGGCTGCAGTCCATGGGGTCACGAAGAGTCAGATACAACTGGGTGACTAAGCAGAAAAACGCCTCAGTGAGCAGGGAAGGACAGACGCCTGGACTGGGGGAGACTGAGAAGACTGGGGGGAGACTGGATGTTGAGGAGACAGAATCCCGAGGAGCCTCTGAAAGCTGTCATGGGATGAAGAGGAAAACAGGATCGGGAATTCCCTGGTGGTCCAGTGGTTAGGACTCCTCACTTTTACTTCCGAGCGTCTGGGTTCAATCCCCGGTCAGGGAAGTAAGATCCCGCAAGGTGCATGGCCCAGCGAAAACCACAACGAAAGGGCAACGCAGTGCAGTCAGCCGGAGGAGAGGGCTTCATGATTTACAGTGCTGCACTTTCAATGCTGTCTCAGCGGTTTAAAGACTCTTTTAAATCACACGCAGCAGTCGCATCTAGAATAGGTGGAAGTTTACCCAAACCGTGACTTACTTATGGATTTTGTTGTTGGTTAGTCGCTCAGTAGTGTCAGACTCTTTTGTGGCTCCATGGACCGTAACCTGCCAGGCTCCTCTGTCCATGGGGATTCTCCAGACAAGACTACTGGAGTGGGTTTTCATTTCCTCCTCCAGGGGGTCATCCCAACCTAGGGATCAAACCCATGTCTCCTGCGTCTCCTGCATTGGCAGGTGGATTCTTTACCACTGCACCACCTGAGAAGCCCTATCTATGGATTCATTTTTGCAAAAAAAAAAAAAAACTGTTGTCTGATTATAAAGACAATGAGTATGATTTTTACTTGATTAGATGAAGGAATGACATTGTAAGGTTTTTTGAAGTGGCTCTTTTAATTGATAAAAATCTTGTAGTAATAATATTATATAAATAACATTATAGTCTTAACATTATTATGCAGCTTTTATTTAACCATTTAATTTCCCTTAATAGGTTTATAAGGGAGAATCCTGAATAATTCAATGATATCTTACTCAGTATCATTTTAAGTCATAAATACAGAATAAGACTAATTGTCTTTTTCTCAATTTTTAAGATCCTGACTTTAAGGACCTTGGAGTTTTGAAACCATTACCAGGTTGGTAAAACAGATATTTAATACTGTTCAGAGACCTTTGTTTTCTGCTGTGATATATACTTTTGGTTTATTACTCAAGTTCCACTTTTGTATGTTTGTCTGGCATCTCGTTATTTAGTGTGTGAGTTTGAGATGGGCGGCCCTGAAGGCATTGTGGAGTCTATACAAATTATGAAGGAAGGCAAAGCTTCTGCTAGCGAGGCTGTTGATTGCAAGTGGTACATCCGAGCACCCCCGCGATCCAAGGTCAGTCTCAAGGTGGAATGCAGGTTTGACAGACAACTTGAAAAGTGTCTCCAGTATTGTATTGCTTTGAACCAACCAGACATGCTCAGTCCATTTCAGAGTGCAATCATAAGCGATCATTTTATTTTTGTTTTGAAATGTAGCATGTCTTCCTCTGTTTAATATAACTTTCAAGGTCATAATAATATGGAAAGAATGCTTAAGAGATCCTTGGATAATCTGGACAAGAGACTCTAGGGTAAATCTACCTCTAAAAAATGGAATGAAATGTTGTAAGCAAGCTATGGTTTAATTAACTTATGCCCGTATTGTCAGTATCTGCAGTTTGCTTGCTTTTTAACTTAAAATCTGTGAAAGAAATTGTCCAGGGCTCACAAAGCATGTATTTCTGTGTGTAACATTGTGGGCCAGATTCAGACTCTGATCTCTGTTTTGGAAACACTTGTTTAGAACAACTCTACTCATTCTATTATGGATGCATCTTAAGAAATACTGGGATGAGAATTTTGTACCGGTAGCAATCACTGGTTTAGCGTGTTGATTATTTGCTTATTCTCCCTTTATTGTCATCCTTTAGAAGTAGAATGTACTTACAATAAAGCTTTACTGATTTATTTGATTTGGAGTTGCCGATTTATTGAGGTTGAACAGTTTGTTATTTAATTAATTGACCTAGTGTGTCTATAACCTCTCAAGGACTATGCTGAAGAAATGAAAAATTATACTGTTACATTTCCAGTTGATTTTTAGACAACTATGTATCTAAATAATCCATGAAATAAGATAAGATCATTGAGGTATTTATAAGGTGTAGTAGAGTGAAGGAGAAGACCACTTGCCCCTGGTGAGGGGAATCAAAGGCACGATCAAGTTGCATTGCAAGGCATCTTCTGAGCTTTGATGAGAAATGATGCTCTCGGGTAGACAGGGTGGGACTTGCCCTGTTAGGTAGAGTAAATAGCTTCCCTAAGGTCATGGGATCATAAGAGATTCCCCCCTCTCAGGAATTAATTGCATGTGACCACATGAAAGCAGGATTCTGGAGGTGAATGGTTAAGCTGAAGGATTCTGTTAGTGCCCTTCAAGAGCCCAGATTCATCCTGAGTGCATTAGTGATGCATGTGCGTGTGCTAAGTCCCTTCCATCATATCTGACTCTGAGACCTCACGGACTGTAGCCCACCAGGCTCCTCCATCCATGGGATTCTCCAGGCAAGAATACTGGAGTGGCTTGCCATGCCCTCGGCTTAGTGATACATACAAGAGTGTGAAACAGCAAAGTGATGTAGTCAGAGTGTGTATTTTCCAAAAAACAGATTTTCCTTGTCTAGAAAGGACAGAGTTGTCATTCCAAGCTAGATATGAAAGAATTTGGTGACTGGATATTCCAAATAAGGGAAAAATAAGTCTCATCTCCAAGTGAATTGGTATTTCAGGAAATATTTTTATCTTTCTTCTCTTGATTTCCCATGAATATGTCTTTGGGATTTGCATATAATTTGGAAGTGTGACATATTTTCCCCAAACTTCTGGTGATGGAGATTCAGACCGTGGTCCAGTTTCCAGCTTTATCACTACAGGTCTCTCTGCATCAGAAAAAATCTTTTAAAAGATTTAAATTAACTTTGTTAAATTAAATTAACTTTGTTAATTTTAACTTTAATTAACTTTGTTAAAATTATGATTTATGAAGAAAGACATAGTGCTACTTCCATTAAAAAAATCCAAGGCTACTGGTGACATAAAACCCAACCTCCTACAAAGATTATGCAGGAATTCGATTGCAGTTTATTATGTTCTTACATAATTTGTGGATTCACATGTGCTATTCATTTTCCTTCAACTCTATGAGTGAAAGGTATTTTAGATTTTTTTTTCAACAGGAAGTATCTGAGCCCCACCTCATGGTCATAACTGGCATCTCTGTCACCACAGTGTCAAAGAGAGGGTGTCAATGAAAGTGCGAACCCACACCGTTTCCTTCCAGCTGGTAAATAGACCATCTTTTGTACAGTCCCAGAACAATGCCAGGTGTACCTGCCTGTTACAGAATCTGGCATTCTGTGACCCAAGGAGGAAGCTGCCTGCAGAGCTGGACAGAGATGACTCTATTGTGACAGCCCTTCTCTGTTAAATTAAAGGTTAGGGAATAGGAAGCGGCTTTGAATAACTGTTGAAAAAAGCAAGAAGTGGAGATGACACTTTACTTGGGCTTTCTATTTATACGGACGTCCTCGCAGCCTAGAACAGACTATCAAAGCACAAGTTAAACTTGAAATGGCTCCTGTGAATATGTGAATGATAGCTGGTGATTGCCGCATTGAAAGTGCTAAATAGCTTACTGGGGTTCCATTAAAATTTACATCAAGTGTATGTTGCTTCTCAGCCCTTTCATAAATAGAAAATACACTATCTGATATCACCTTTGTTTGAGAATTGTAATACAGATGATTGCCTTTAATTAGAATGCGATTAACCCAGATTTCTTAGAAATTGGAATACCAGAGCCTGAAAGAAAGTTGGAAATCCATTACTGATAAGTGTGTCTAACAGATGAATAAGCAGAGTCAGGATAGTGAAGCTGGTTAACAATGAGATGTTGAAATATGCTTCTGTAAGCAACTCTTTGGCTTTCATATAGATTCTCGAGAAAGTGAGATGGGAGCATATTAATGGTGTCTAGTTCTGGGTCTGGTTCAGTAAAGAACCACTAGAGAAGGATATTGGATGAGCCAATTATGGTAACAATGTTAATTTCCTGAAGGTTGGAGCTTATTTCCCTCTAGGTTCGTGCGTACGTGTGTGTGTGTGTGTGTGTGTGTGTGTGTGTGTGTGAAGTCACTTCAGTCNGAGGAGCTTGTTGAGAGCAAGTAGCAGAGAACTGACTACATGCACCGCCTTCCTCTGCTGCTCCTAGGTAGGGGTTAGCATTGCTCTCCGGGATAGCAGAGTTGGATAGGCCTTGTGTATTTAAACCATTTGGCGATGGTGATGAGAACGATAAGATCTGAATTGTTTTGTGTCCTTGGGCCACTTATCTATTTTATCCATAGCAGAATAGGGGGGCCAATTTAATGATTGGTTGCAAAGCACTTTACAAATAGAAAGCTCCAGGACAATTTTGCAAGGTGACAAGAGCTTTCTAAAGCTACAAAGGGTTGCCTGGAGTGATCAAACTAACAGTTGCCGAAACAAAACCGTGCTGCACAGATAATGTCCTTAACCACTTTTTTTCCATAGCTTCTCCCCTTGTCCCCCAGAATTTGCACATGAAAATTATAATCAAATACCAGCTATCTAAGGGCTTCCCAGGTGGCACTAGTGGTAAAAACATGTCTGCCATCGCAGGAGACCTAAGAGACATAGGTTCGATCCCTGGGTCAGGAAGATCCCCTGGAGAAGGTCATGGCAACCCACTTCAGTATTCTTACCTAGAGAATCCCATGGACAGAGGAGCCTGGCAGGTTATAATCCATGGGGTCACAAAGAGTCAGACATGACTGAACGACTGAGCACAACCACATAAGAACATTGCTTAAAGCTGCTCAGTTTGTGGGGATTTGTTATGGGAGCAAGGAGAAAATGAGTGCCTAAGCAAAGGGTAGCAGCAAAAATTGATGACAGTGGTAAGATTAGGGGCTCTAAAGACTGAGCCTGCCCTTATTATCTCCAAAAATGAAAATAAAAATTGGATAAACAACATGAAAAATTTAACTGACTAGAGAACTACCTATGACAGTGTTATGGTTCAACTTTGTTTTTAAATGAAATCTCAGTTTGTAGCATCAGATTTTGGAAAGTTATGGAGATGCTTGTCTGTGCAGGGCTGAAAATCACGTTAATGTTGTTTTATCTGGGTTTGTTGTGTGGAGTGTGTGTTTTTCCAACACTTCAGGACACAGTATGATGTTCTGGTTTTCTCCTCTGAATAAAGTGCACACTGCTCTCCTCCAAATTCATGGGCTATACTACTTAAAATTAGAAGGCCCTGCAAGTCCAGTAACCACAGAAGTCCTGGGCAACACGCTTTTTAGAATGTAGCTTTATCTGTCAAAGTGTAAAGTAATATTGACACTGTGGTCAGTGTTTCTCAGACTGTTGTGTATTTAATTTGTATTTATCATGGAGAAAACTGTTCTGGCAAGTCTTAAAAATGACCCCAAACAGTGTTTGTTTTTCACACATCATTGGGAGACAGACGATAGAAGCAGGTTGAATGGTTGGTATTAAATGTTTGCAAGTAAATTAACTTAGTAAATTGTTAGCCAGATATCCTTGGTTTAAATATGCAAAAGGGATTCTACTCTCCTATTAGTGTGACTTGGAAGACAGACATTACTAGAAATTGCTTATATGTTTTGAAGCCTCCCACGTCCTTTTCCATAAATCATTTTGTCAGCTCAAACTCTTTGTGATTGATTAGAAAGAAGAATGCATCAAAATGATGCACTGAGACGAGATTGTAATCTGACTATTTTACTGAAGTTATATATGATTCTGTTTATCACTTTCTCTTTTTTCAGCAAACAAGCTTTCTATAGTTTTTGACCGTAAGTAAAAACACTGGCACATGGCATTTCCCCCCTTAGTGATATTATGACATGAGCTTTAAGCTGACAAAATATCATTTAAATCCTAATGTAGGGAGGGTTTTTAAATGGTATATACTATAGCTAGAGTGGGAAAATTTGATCACTGGTTTGGTTAATGGATTTGGTTTGTGCAGTAACAGCTCTGTACTCAGTAAAGCTAATTATCACTGGAATATTTTCATTTATTTTTTAAAACTATTTTTAAAAGTTTTAAAATGATTGAATGCTTCAGAAGTGAATATATAATATCCAGTGACTAATACCCAGTAATTGTTAAATGGATAGTATTCTAATAAGTTTAGATTAGTTGCTTAGTCATGTCTGACTCTTTGCGACCCCATGGACTGCAGCACACCAGGCCTCCCTGTCCATCACCAACTCCCGGAGCTTACCCAAACTCATGTCCTTTGAGTCGGTGATGCCATCCAACCATCTCATCCTCTGTCATCCCCTTCTTCTCCTGCCTTCAATCTTTCCCAGTATCAAGGTCTTTTCNGACGCACTCCTTTCCCTATTTGGAACCAGTCTGTTGTTCCATGTCCAGTTCTGTTGCTGCTTGACCTGCATACAGACTTCTCAGAAGGCAGGTCAGGTGGTCTGGTATTCCCATCTCTTGAAGAACTTTCCACAGTTTGTTGTGATCCACACAGTCAAAGGCTTTGGCATAGTCAATAAAGCAGAAGTAGATGTTTTTCTGGAACTCTCTTCCTTTTGTGATGATCCAGTGGATGTTGGCAATTTGACCTCTGGTTCCTCTGCCTTTTCCAAATCCAGCTTGAATATCTGGAAGTTCGCGGTTCACATTCTGTTGAAGCCTGGCTTGGAGAATTTTGAGCTTTACTAGCTTTACTACTAGCTTTAAAACTGACCTTTTCCAGTCCTGTGACCACTACTGAGTTTTTCAAATTTCCTGGCATATTGAGTGCAGCACTTTCACAGTATCATCTTTTAGGATTTGAAATAGCTCTAATAAGAATGGTCTTTAAATATAGAAGGTTCTTCCACTTCAGCCATGCCAGTTCTTGTAAGAGTGCACACCATTCACCTCCCATGGAAAATGTCAAATGAAAAAACAAGGGCCAAATATGCAAATTGCCTTTTTAACTATTATCAGTGTTCTTTCATAAAATAATCTTATTTTTGAAGAAAATTTAAAACAGCCATTTATTTCAGAGGGACACATTTATTTTCTGTGAATTTCATTAATATGTCAGCCATCAGTATGTTTCTTAGTCCCTTTAGAAAAATATAAATGGGTTTGTTTTGCTGGCTTACTTGTCAATTTTGTTGTAGTTTGTTCTTGTTTAGGACTATAACTTTCTTTCTGGACTGTCAGTCTGAAAATTTTCAAAAAATTTATCTGAATCTGTGAAGTTTGACACCAAGGAGACAAGTGTCAGGCAGAACTAAGTTGAATACTGATCTATTACTTAAGGTCCTGTGTTGCCTTAAGAACATCACTTTGCTTTTTCAAACATCATCTTATTTTAAAATAGTTGTGATAATAGTGTGCATCGCTGTCGGAGAGATTTGAGTGAGATAATGCCTTTGCACAGTGTTGAGTTATTGTCAGTATACGATGCAAAAGTTGAGCATTTTAAGTTGTGTTCCTTTATTCAGAGTCAGAAAGAAACCTGAAATAACTGTCCAGACATATTCACCCCTGAATCAACCTGAAAATATTACACAATCAAAAATCTTTTTTCTTGAATTAGTTGAACAGTCCCTCTAGTTATTTTTCTTTCTGTGGGCATCGTGTTTGTTTCTTGTAACTTTGCAAGGAAGGAGGCAGGGATTTTCTGCTACTCTGCTGAGTGTCTTCTCCTGTTAGGAGCTATGTGTGTTTACAATTCTAACTGCATATTACTTTGAGGGCTAATTAAATATGTTGGAATCATTGTGTACTACTTGAGAATATAAATATATATTTGACTTTTGTTGCATTTAAGTTCTTCTACTTTCCAAGAATACATAGAGTTTATAGTTATTTGTATTTTCATACAGTTTACAATTTGTTTACTTTTAATCAGGATGGGCCTAATGAAAAGATCTTTAAAATAAGAGTTCAGGATTTTAATCCTGTTTAAGGTTCTCATATTGATTTATTTTCCTTAAGTAAGCTCTTTTGTCTCCTTCACTTCCTGGCAAAGATCATCTGAATGACACATACAATTCCTTGGAGATCATCTGAATGACAGATACAATTTCCTTGTACAAATCCATGTGAAAATTTGAAAAGCAAAGTAGTTAGTAGAAACTTGGAAGATTTAACATTTTCAGATATACCTTCTTATGATGGACGATAGAATTGTTTGGGTAATTTTCTGAAATGCAATATTTGGTTGGGAAGAGTAGATCTAAGATAAGATGGAGAGTAGATCTAAGATCTAAAATATTACATGAGTAATATTTGAACTGTTAAAAGAATAAAATAAAGCAATAATCTGGTAATGATAAACAGGAGGTTTTCTTAGGCTATAGGTTTTATAAGGCTGTAGTAATGATGGCTCAGTGGTAAAGAATCCTCCTTCCAATTCAGGAGACACAGGCTTGATCGCTGGGTCAGGAAGGGATCAAGGGAATGACTCCAGTGTTCTTGCCTGGGAAATCCCAAGGACAGAGGAGCCTGGTGGGCTACAGTCCATGGGCTTGCAGAGAGTTGGACATGACTGAGCAGCTAAACAACAACAAAAACGTCAGTTAATTTAAAATCAGCATCAAAGTATTTGGGAATTTTGGTATAGTTTCCAACTGAAATTTTACAGATTGCATATACATGAAAACCTTCTCACCATACAAAGCATAATAAAACTATGGTGCTTCCCATTGTGTCTCTATTTTGCCTATTTCTCCCTATTTTTCTGTTTTGTTCTTCCTCCTGAGAACTATATGAAGATTTCCTGACTTAAGATTCACATTTTACTCAGTCATTTCCTTATAATTCTGCATCACACTACATATATGCTTTTGTGTTATAATTTAGAGTTATATTATAAATAACTTGTCTTGAGAATTATTGCATACCATTTTCTACTACAAATAATAAACTGTCATTTATTCTCTATATACAATTATCATGATTTATAGCACTCAAAGTCTGGTGTATAGGTAGGTGCCCAAGAGATGTGATGGATGCTGAAAAAAATGAAGTCAATAAAGAAAACAAAATTTTAGTCAGTCATTAAATGTACATCCATTAAATTTTATGGTGAGTGCTTAACATACATAACACATGGTCAAACACTGAAAATAAAATAAGTACACCAGTGTCCCAGCTTTTTAGGAGCACACAGTTCAACAAAAGTTACATGTGACCTATAACTAAAGCTTAAAATTTGTCCAAAATAATATTGTAACACAAAGGGAGAATAATGCCCCTGTGGTTGGAGAATGGAAGAAGTCATTTTTAAATATTATTGTTACATGAGTTACAGGCATCAGTTCAGTTCAGTTCGGTCACTCAGTCATGTCCGACTCTTTGCAACTCCATGAATCACAGTACGCAAGGCCTCCCTGTCCATCACCAACTCCCGGAGTTTACTCAAACTCATGCCCATCGAGTCGGTGATGCCATCCAGCCATCTCATCCTCTGTCGTCCCCTTCTCCTCCTGCCCCCAATCCCTCCCAGCATCAGGGTCTTTTCCAATGAGTCAACTCTTCGCATGAGGTGGCCGAAGTACTGGAGTTTCAGCTTCAGCATCAGTCCTTCCAGTGAACACCCCGGACGGATCTCCTTTAGGATGGACTGGTTGGATCTCCTTGCATACAGCACTATAATTCACCACCTACATACTCTGCAAGGTCGTCACCGCCCCAAGACGAGTTACCATCCATCACCATATGGTTGACCCCCTTTACCTATTTTGCCCACCTTCAACTCACTTCCCCTTTGGTAACAACTATTCTGGTTTTATCTTGTTTTTTTCTAACAGATTGACTTTTTTAAACTGTGTTTGGTTTGGTTTTTAGATTCCACATAAGTGTGAAACGTTTGTCTTTCTCCACCGAACTTCATACAGCATGATACCTTTGGGGTCCATCCATGTTGATTCAAATGGCAGGATTTCATTCTTTTTTTGTGGCTGGGTAGTAGTCCATTATATATTTATTATTGGTTAAATTAATTGCTTTCAGTTTTTAATACACATTCATAGCGAGTCATGTAATGTCCGTTGCTATTAAAACAGTATGTCTGAATCAGTGTAATATGGTGAAAGGACTACAGACTGGCTTGAGGGATCCTGTGTCTACTTTGCAATTTATATCATCCAAGTCTGCATTCCTGAATATAATAATAAATGTGCCACTTTATAGAGTTTGGGGGAGTACTTAACAATAATCTCTAAAGTAGGTTGTACAGTCCATTTTACCCATTAAGTGTTAATTTAATTTTTATTTACATGGACTTAACTAAATGGCTTGACTCTATGTTATGGTTAGAATGACCACAGATTTAGCTGTATTTTAAAAATATATACTCTATCTTAAAAATTAAGCAGTGTAGTTATGTGAAATAATTTAAGAAAAGTAAAAGCAGAGACTATCTTTTGATGCCATTTCTGGTTTTGTTTGATATTAGTATAAATGTTGCATTTCCACACATTTTTGGAAGTAAATTGAAGTCATGGAACTCTAACAAGAATATATCAGCAATATTTAAAACACATTTATGCTAATTAAAATAAAGCAGTAAGTATGAAAACTAATAACTGACTCCAGAAAAATTAAGAGAAGACATAAAGATTATCTGGGTAAAATTACTCAATGATGGGAAATGGTACTTTTACCTAAAAGAAAGGTTAATAGCATTTGAAAAAAGTATTAAGCACAAGTTGATCTGCGTGATATTCGTCTTTACTTTCTACCATCCACAGGCAAAAAATGATAAGATTGAGTGCAATCAAGCTGGTCTTGTGAGACTAAGAAAGAGACAGGAAGCGCCGGTGCTTACTGAGCTACTTCCCTCTTTCCAGGGAAATTATCACATCTTCGTTGTTTTACAGATCTACTTACGGTTCTTGGACTATGAGATGCAGAATTCCAACGAATGCAAGAGGAACTTCGTGGCGGTGTATGACGGAAGCAGCTCGGTGGAGGACCTGAAAGCCAAGTTCTGCAGCACGGTGGCCAACGACGTGATGCTCCGCACAGGCCTCGGGGTCATCCGCATGTGGGCCGACGAGGGCAGCCGCAACAGCCGCTTTCAGATGCTCTTCACATCCTTCCAAGAACGTAAGCATCTCCGCTCTTAGCTGCTCGGCCTTCCCAAGGGTCGGAGGGTGCAGAGCGCATGCTCTGTGAATGGTGTTTTCTTCATGCAGCTTGAGCCTTAATAAGTTGTTCAAACCGCTTAGATTCCCTTTCCTTCACTTTGATCCAGAAACAGGAGGGTTACATATTATCTTTAGATTCCCTTTCCTTCACTTTGATCCAGAAACAGGAGGGTTACATATTATCTTCTGATTACTTATATCAGCATATGCAGGGCTTCCCTGGTGCCTCAGATGCTAAAGACTCTGCTTGCAATGCAGGAAACCCTGGGTTGGATCCCTGGGTTGGGAAAATCCCCTGGATTAGGAAATGGCAACCCACTCCAGTGTTCTTGCCTGGAAAATCTCATGGACAGAGGAGCCTGGTGGGCTACAATCCATGGGGTCACAGAGTCAGGCAGGATTTAGGGACTAACACAACAGCACAGTATCAACATATGCACTGTAGCCTTGCTTAAGAAAGACATTTCACACTACTAAACTGGGGTATGACGAATTCTGTTTGTCTTTGGGTTAGATTTTAGGAAGCCAGGGAACTGAGGCAGCAGTTTCCGATGATGTTTGAGTTTAAATCTTAAAAACCTGCGTAAAAATATTTGGTAGGTTCTCTTTAGTAAGCTTCTCTTGCAGTCCCATTGATTTTAAATAGGTCTGTGACTGCAGAGTTCCAGGTAAACTAGACGAAGAGGAAGAATTGATTGGGAAGAGAGTAAACAGAAAAAGTTCCAGAAAATAGTTTAAATGGCACAATGGATGATACCCAGAGTTAGGGGCAAAAGCACGGCACTTTTAAAAAATCACGTTCTTACAAATAATGAGTCATATGAATAGACATATATTTGGAATGTTCTTCAGAAACCCTGAGTAATTTATGCTTGATAAATTTATGCAAATGAAAAATAACCCTAAGAAATTCAGCTTTAAGGAATCAGTACCTTGTCATTTGAAACTGTACATTAAAAAAAAAAAAAGACAAAATGTTTTTGAAATGTCAAGGATTTCTCAAAGTTAGCTGCAGCAGCCACTATCTTTTTTTTTTTTTTTGATCCAAAAATGTTTAATGTAGTAGATGATTTCTTTGCACCATGAATGAATGGTTTTGACTTTAAATTGTTCTCTACTTACCCAGTTGGAGAATTCTATGGCACCAGAAGTAGGGAATGTCCCTCAGTCTTTCTGAATCTTGATACCATCACAGAGTAATGTTAAGTCTCCCATCCTGGATTATTGCAGATTTAAATAGCAAGTTATTATCTTGGTCTTCCTTTCAGGAATTGATCAAAATGTTAGAGCTAGCACATCTTTATTTCAGCAAGGTATCTGGAGAAAAAAAACCTTGTCATTTTTTTGCTTAGAATTTGAATCAGTTCAGGTTAGAAGATAGCACATGTGGTGTTTTCATCAATGAGTACTCTTCTAAATCCAATCAGTTGTGCCTGTGGTGAGGGTCAGATTATACTTTATTCAGTATTTTTATCAGCCTTGGATAATCATAGACTAAGAACTTCTTTCTAGTTTAACATATATGGGAGGTCTAGTTAATGCATTAAGTGATATAATAAAGTTACTAAAATATTAAAAATATGCAATTTTTATCCAAACTGCATGATAATTTAGTAAGGATAAATTACAGAATGTCTTCTTATGTTTTATATGTCAAACAAAGGAACTCAGGCTCCAGGATTTCCTAAGATCTTATTTCATTTAAACTCAATAGACGCCAATACTTTTTAAAAATAATTGACAACAATTTCTAATGCAGTCTTAGCTTGTGTTAACAAATGTGCAGTAAGCAGCTCAGAGGAGATACTCTCACAGGAAGCTGCAGTGGTCAAAATGCAAATTGCACAGCCTGTTCTTTTCTGAGTGTTATTAATGAGAGCAGAATAATTAGCTAGGATCAACTGATTCGGATGCAGAAGCATTTAGAAAAGGCTAAAGGGGTAGGTATCCCTATCCTAGAGATTTCTTTTGTCCAAAATGTGACAACTACCTTAAACTTGGGGGAGTGGTGGTATGGATTAATGTCTGAGAAGTAAGATTAATGTTAAATTAATTATATGAAGCCATTTGACTGTGATTCATGGAAAAGTGTCTAGCTCATAGAAAGTGTGGTATTACAACATTGAATGAACTTTAATGGAGAACATGTGAGAAATGGGTTCTCATCAGGTGTCAGTGGTGTAGGGCAAGTGTCTAGGCTAGACAGGGGGGAAGGAGGACAGAGTGCCTTTCAATTCAAAGGTGAAGATCTGTGAGTCTTTAAGTTCTACTTATATAAGAATGATGGGATTCTTATACATGATAAGAATACATGCTGATATGTATTCAGCATGTATGTAAGATACATATGTATGTAAGATACATACATGCTGTGTATGTATCGTGCTTCCCAGATGGTACTAGAGGTAAAGAACCCATCTGCCAATGCTGGAAATATAAGAACCGCAGGTTCAATCCCTGGGTCAGGAAGATCCCCTGGAGAAGGAAATGGCAACCCACTGCAGCATTCTTGCCTGGAGAATCCCGTGGACTGAGGAGCCTGGGGGGGTACAGTCCATGCGGCCGCAAAGAATCAGACACACATGAGCACAGCACACACATATGCAATAAAGATTAGAGATGTGAATCAGTGACCAGCCCTTTCTCACTCTAATAATGAGAAAGCACCTCGATATTTTTCTTAGTCCCCACATTTCTTAGATGGTATCCCCAGTTCAGTGTTGAGAGGTGCTTTAGGGTGTATTCAATGATATTCTAATATCTGTCAAAATGTCTTATATTAGGGCCGTAAGATATTTTAGAGGTTAGATAAGAGCTTAGAAGTCATGTATTTCAATCCCAAATACTTTAGGAATTCAAACAGAAAAAGAAAAGACCCAGGGAAGGTTAACTGACTTCCCCTTCCCCATGCTCAATGATTTGTTAAAAACACTGAGGCTAGAATGTAAGACCTGAATCCTGATATTGGCAGGTCTCCATGGATACCTTTGTCATCTTTAAGGAATGAGCAGAGCTCCCACTTTCTAAAGATAATGATGATGTTAAAAGCAGATCTCATTTATGCATCACTCATGAAACATATTTGTCAGCATAGTTTTACTTGCTTTACAAACTGAATTTTCACTCTTCTGTCTTACCTAATGCATCTTACATTTATGTTTCATAGTTACATTCTGTAATCATACATTGTATAGCATTGTACATTACCATAAACATCAGACTAAAGTAGAATCATGACAAGGGGCTTCTGCTCTCAAAAGATGAACCCAGGAACTAATGGATGCCAGTGGGAATATATTTTCAAATCATTTTTATTTTTGCATTTGCATCTGTTGTTTTTCATTGTTTTTGTTCAGTTGCTAAGTTGTGTTCAACTCTTTCAACCCCATGGACACCAGGCTTGCCTGTCCTTCACTATCTCTCAGGGTTTACTCAAACTCATGTCCATTGTGTCTGAATAAATCACAGAAAAGACAAACAATGAGTGTGTAAGAGAGAGGCACAGACATTCTTACTATGAGTCATCAGATGCTGAGGTTTCCCATGCACATTAGAGGCATTTTAAAAGTCTGGGTTAAATGCCAGCATTTGCAACAACAACAAATACCGTCTAGTATAACGGGAGGACTATAAGACTCCCATAGTCTATAAGACTATAAGACTGAATGGAGAAGTATTTACCTTCATCTGTGTCATGAGGAATAATGTGATGTCTTCATGGATCGCTCCCATAAATAGCATGCTCCTGCCTGCACTGTCTTGCTGACTGTTCAGCTCAGCCTTTTCTCAGCCCTCCCTGAGATGGCTGCTGTGATCGATAGCATCACACTGCTGCTGGCTGATGCTCAAACACATTGGCCTCAGAGGAATAGTATCCAGACTTTACCCCACAGAGCGACTTTGACACCCAGCAACTAGAGAAAAAAACAATGTTATCGCCAAAGAGGCACTGTCTTACTTGACTATAATCTTTTTAATACTGGCATTTTGTACTCCGATTACTCACAATCTCAGTCCACTCAAACAATTCATCTAATGGAGATGAAAAGCACATATAGGTACCCAAAAAAGATCTCAAATTTTAAAGTATTATTAATAACCTTGGATAGTGATCTCTAAGAAAGATGACTTATTTAAACTTTAAATTTATTCTGAAATGAAGAAGAAAATGTATTAACCATTGTGACTAATTTGCTTTCTTGGGTCAAAAATCAACAAATAGGAGGAAAACATCAGGTTAGAAACACAATTGAGGATAAAGAAGAATGAATCCAACTTGACATAAACATAGATCACTTTGAATAATTCTTACAGTGATATTGAAAGTGTGTTATATTTTATTTTGGTAACTCAACTTAAGATTGCCTATAAGGGTAGAATTTTATACATTTGCATCACTTTATATAAAGACATTGTCTTGCTCTGAATAATCATCCAGATTTTTTAAAAATTGATTAGAATTAGTGTAATTTCAACTTTGAGCATACTTATGTATGAAAATGCATGATCAATTATGATAGAACTGTAGGTTAAGTATTGGATATGCAAAATGGAGACATTAGTGAAGTGTACTTCTTCACAGTGAGGCACAACTCAGACTTTCTGGGCTGGTCTTTTTCTGTGTTCCAAGAATTTGCAGCAACTAGAATGAATGAATACCCTGAGTAATATCTCATGGTGACTTCTCAAGTTCCACCTTCAACTGTTCTACTCTTATTTAGACCACAATAAAATCTCAGTCACTTAATGCTTGATTAATGTGCAGCATATTTCTGACAAAAAACAGACATGCAACTAAAAAGAGATGAAAAGAAAATTGTTCACTTTAAGGATGTGGGAATAATGGTTACAATACTTTGCTAAAATAAGATTATAGATTTAGTTTCATATTAATTTATGGCAAAAGATAATAGAATCTAAACTACAGGTTTATTTACAGTAAAGATATATATATATATA